AGAGTATTGCTTCAGTAGTGGGGCAAAATCAGCCATAGACTTAAAAGCTAGTCTGGTCTCACCTAACAGCACTTAAAAGTAAGCCTCAAGAGGAACAAAACTATTTCAAAGTAATTAAACTATATCCTAGAACAAAGCTCAATAATATTTATAAGGATACAAAAGAAAAGATCCGATATCCAGCAAGGTAAAATTCGTAATATCTGAATTTCAGTAAAAAAACTAACAGGCATTCAAAGAGGAAGGAAAATATTACCCATAAGGAGGTGAAAAATCATCAGTAAAAATAACATGGATGACAGAAGACAAAAAGATAAAAAATTATAATGACCACATTTGATAAGTTTTAAAAGGTAGAGAAAAGCTTCAACATGTGAACTAGAAGCAGGTTAGGTATAAAAAAGAACCAAACTGAACATCCATAAAAGAAAAATATAATGTCTGATGAAAAATACACTGGGCAAGATTAACTGCAGATTACATAGAGCAGAAGAAAAGAGCGAGTTTGAAAACAATAGAAATTATCTAAAATAAAACACAGAAAGAAAAAAAAAAGACTAAAAAACAAATGAATAGATCACCAGTGAGCTGTGGCTGGACAAACTCAAACAGCCTAACATACATGTAATCGAAGCTCCTGAAAGGAGGATGGGAGCAGAAAGCATGTGTATATTTGAAAATTTTCCACATTTGATGACAACTATAAACCCACAGATCCAAGAAGCTCAATAATAAACCCCAAACACAACAGACATAAAGAAAACTACACCAGGTATAAACTATTCAAAATCAATGAAAAAGAGAAAATTCCAAAAACACCCAGAAAAACGGGGACATATTACCTTCAGAAGAACATATACAAGAATAACAGCAGACATCTCACTGCAAACCAAGAGCTCCAGGTGACAGTGAAGCGGCCCCGAGATCGCAGAGGGAAAAAAGCCCTGGGAACCTAGAAGGTTCCTGGTGAAAATACCACTCAAAGGTGAAAGCAAACACTCTGTCAGACACAGACAAGCTGACAGAAGTAGTCACTAATAGGCACTACAAGAAATGTTGAAGGGAATCATCTGCGAAGAAGGAAACTGATACCATAAGGACACCTGGTTGTACACAAAGGCATGAAGAGCACTGGCAATGGCAAATATCTAGGTAAATGTAAAAGACTTTTTTCTGATTAAAAAAAAAAAGTCTTTAAGAGTTAACTGACCACTTAAGCAAACAAACAAAAAACACAACAGATAACAGGATTGATAACATACATAGATGTGAAATGTATGACAAGAGCAGCACAAATACCAAGGAGAAATGGAAATTTCCTGCTGTAAGGTTCTTACATTGTAGGTGAAATGGCATACTACTACTGGAAGACAGACTGTGCTGTTAAAGATGCATACTCTAAACCTTAATACAACCACTCAAAAAGCAAAGAGAAAGCTTTTAATTTGCTAAATAAGCCCCCTAAGAAATAAACATGGAATAATAAAAAATATTGTAAAGCTCATCAAATTATATATCTTAAATATGTGCAATTTAACACTAGAAGGATGATTAGCTATGAAATCTGATGGAAGGGCTCAGACAGGTCCCACACCGTTTCCTGCCAGGATATCTTGCTTCAGTTTAATCTGCCTTCTCAGCAATAGCACTTTCTCATTTATGAAGAGGTAACTCTAGCCTGGAAGGCTGGTGAAAGGATTATTTTGTGGTTTTGAAGTATGTTTCTGGTTCCTTGAGGACAGGTGCAAACTACTATTACCCACCTAAGAGAGAATGATAATATTCAGTGAGTGAAAAAAGGAAACGCTTGTTGGACAAACAACAAGCAAGATCTGTGTGTGCAGCTTGGAGCACAAACTGTATACAGCCCCATCAGGAAGCACAGCTGACTTTATTATTTTGCTTTTGCAGTAGAATCCTGGAGACTGAATGTCAGAAGAAAACGCTCTAGCTCTTAAAAATAATAACAATAACAACAACAAAACTGTAATGGACCAGAAGAATGAAAATGCAACAGAGTTTACACCTTCATATATGTTTGTTATGAACAAAACCACTATAGAACAAGATAAAATCCAAGGGAATAAAATTTCAAGGTTAAAAAACTTCCCGAGGCTGGACCACCTCCCTATTTATGTTTTGGTACAAGCTCATAGTCCAGAATTGGGCCTGCAAAGACTTTACCTTTCAGATGGTATACCATCGCTATTTTATTTGTTTCCTTTGCCAGAGACACTTTTCTTTAGATTAAAGAAAATCTTACTTAAAACCATCAGAGAAATAAAAAATTGGTGGTTCCTGAAATGCATGTGTCTGTGTGCCCTTTTCTTTTTCTTTCTCTCTCTCTCTCCCCTAAACAGTTAATAACCAAGATGGATTCACTGTATTTCTGCTATATAATCCCAAACTGCATTTGTACATATCCCCTGGGATTGTGGTGGTCTCTTCTCTTTCTAACTGCAACAGGGTTTTACAACAGAAGTAATAAGCTTCATGTCAACATTTTCAAGGAAACTGACAATGTAATTCTTCTGTCTCCCATTGGCTCTGTTGTTTCTTAAAGAACAATAAAAAGTGTTTTGTGGTGGCAAGAAGCAAACGATTTGGAGTACAGGCTATAATTAAACCTGATATACTGGAATCTTCTATTTGTAGCAGCTATCTTTCCAAAGAGAGACATCTGTAACCAAGAACATGGAAATGGCAAACCAGTCTCAATCCAGAGGACAATGAGGGCATTTGGATAGCTCAACCTCATTTCCTGCTAAATTCTAAAATGACCATTACCCTGTAAGTATAATTTAGTCTTATTTCTGTGCATTATATCATCTTAATCTAATCACTGTTAAACTGCACAATAGACTGCGACTTTCTTAAATTTTCTTTTTCTCTCAACTACCCCTGACGAGAAAACTACTGCTCGGTTCATAGTCATGTCTTAACTGTTCTGCAGCTGGCCATGGGCCCGCCAAACATTCTGACTGTACTCTAACCCTTGACTCTCAAATCAAAAGAATGAGGTCAGCCTCCCTGACACACAGGAGCAGTATTTTTCCATCACAAACCAGTTCTCTCTCTTTCAGTACATGGTCTTACACTGCCCAAGAGGTTCTGCGCCTCCCACCCTCACCTCGTCTATTCTCTTCATTGAAACACTATAGTCACATGAGACATTCCCTTTTTGGACGTTCCCATACTCTGGGATGGGTACCTCCTGCTTTTTTTCCCATAACATGAGTTCCATTTAAAAATATCACTTCAAGAATCTTTTCTTTTCCAACAAGTCTTCACCGGTCCTTTGGCAGAGAGAGAAAATAACAATAGTTTTTGTCCCCCTTATTGATTCTGTCAAGCACTGTGAAATCCAGACACTCTTAACACAGGAATGAAAAAAGTCACCTGACAACTAAGCTAGCCCCTGGGTGGGAGGGTACACAGGGGAAAGGCCTGAAGTAAGGGCAAAGAGGTGCTAGACTTCCAAACGGGCCAGGCACCAGAAACAAAAGCCGAGAGACTACAAATCTGCATGAAGGACTTCTTTGAACCTTGAGCGCAAAGGTTCTAAGAAATGAAAACCTAAACCATAACCCACTAACACCTAGAAGAATCACAGAAGTAGAGTGAAGAGTGTCCCAAAGGGAGATAAAATGTAGCGTGGACACTTGTGTTGGCTCCTGTTCTGTACCCTAGAACGGGCAAACGCCAAGCAGGGCAGCGAGCCCAGGCCTACGGCTGAAGCCTGGCTTTCCCAGAGCCTTCACGATCACCACTGCCCTATGGCCTGTTCTGTGTTCTTCAAGCATTAAAAAACTTGACAAGGAAAAAATAGGACTAAATATCTACAGACAGGAGATTGAGTTCTCTCAGCTTCATGGCTTTTAATGTTACTCCTCATTCTTTCAGTCTATCTATAAGATTTACCAGAAATTCTATGACCCAATGATTCTAAGCAGCAAAAATGTTTCTCAGATTTTTATCATTCATTTAGAAAATATTTACTGGGAGCCTAATGTGTATCTGTTACTAGATCCTGAGATACAAAGAGGAAAAAAACCTGATCGCTGCTCTCAAGAGTCTTACAGCAACGCCAGAGACGAACAGATGTTTACCTTATAGCGCAGTAAGTGCTTCTACAGAGATAAGCAAAAGTGCTAGAACATAATCCTAAAAATGTAGGGGCGGCATGATATAAGGATAGGGCTAGGGCTAGGGGAAGTGACATATAAAAAGAGGCTTCTTAAAGAAGTTAAGCCTAACCCTGGCTGGCGTAGTTCAGTGGACTGAGTGCCCACCTGCGAACCAAAAGGTCACCAGTTTGATTCCTGGTCAAGGCATATGCCTGGATTGCATCCCCAGTTGGGGCCTGCAAGAGGCAACTGATTGATGTTTCTCTCGCACATCAATGGTTCTTTTCCTCTCATTCTCTCTCCCTGCCCCTCGCCTAAAAAACCAAATAAATAAAATATTTTTTTAAAAAAAAGAAGTTAAGCCTAAACATCAAGGGTGAGTCACCCAGAGGAAATAATGAAATATGTTAAGGAATCTAAAATAGTTTGGTTTAGAGAGTAGAATGTGAACATGTGGAAAAGGAAGATGAGAAGAGATGACCATAGGAGAATTAGGCAGAGCTCACATCCTAAAGGGACATGGTACCACTTCAAATTTCATAGACAAAAAAATAAAGTAATTAAAAAAAGTCAATTTCACTAACAGAAAGAAATGGAAAGAACAATTTCCTTATTTCCACAAAAGGAGGAAAATGAAGAAAGAACCAAAATACAAGACAAACAAAATAAAACCATCAAGGAAACCATTAGAACAAAATACACTGACAAGAAAAGGACCAAGCGTAACAGTCATTAAAATAAAAACAAGTACAACAAATTCATCTACTTAAAGACAAACTCTCACAATGGACTAAAGAAACAAATGAAAAACATTATGCTCTTAATAAGAGCCACATACAAAATTACATAAAAAGCTAAAGATAAAATGATGGAGCACTCGATTCAGCAGCATATGCTAAAACTGGAACGATACAGGGAAGATTAGCATGGTCCCTGCACAGGGATGACATGCAAATTTGTGAAGATAAAATGATGGGAAAGGATATAATAAACACAAAATTATACAAGAATTCAAGAGAAGTTCATTACATGCAATACAAAGGACTATTTATATAGAAAAATACAATTAAAGATTAAAATAAAATTAGCATTTACTTGTTGAATAAGTAAGTTCAAATATTACACACAAGAAGTCAAGTAGGAAAAAACTCCATAATCATAGCGAGAGACTAATGCTTCTTTCAGAATTTGACCCCCCTCCCCAAAAAAGGTGATAGATATGGAAGAGCTAAATATATTTATGAAATTGATACAGGAGATACTTACAGCACTTTATACAGTAGAAACACAAATCCTATTCAAGTGTTCATGAAACACTCTGAAAAAATAACCATCTACAAGACCACAAAGTCTCAAATTCAGAAAAGTAGGTATTAGCCTACATTTTCTGTTAATGTAATAAAACAAGACTTAACCACTTGGAAATAAGCGATGAAGGTAAGCGATTTTAAGAGAACATTTTTAATCTTACTTCGGGGTGAGGGTTGGGGAGTGATGAGATTGAGCAAAAAAGAAAAAGAACTCATGGACACAGACAGCAGTGTGGTGATTGCTGGGGGTGAGGGATGTAGGTGGAAGAGAGTATAAGGGGAATAAATGATAATGGAAAAAATACAATGAAAATAAACTATTAAAAATAATAAAATAAATAAGAGAAAAGCACTCAATGTTCAACTCAGAAATCTAGAAAAAGGGAAATACGATAAATGGAAAGTAGGGAAAAAAGTAGAAAAAAATGTCAGGGGAAAAAAGCCTGAGAAGGCAAAAAGTACACAAACACAACAGCAAACCAAAAACAAAAACAATCCCAATGACTTGTAACAAATCTGATTTAGGAAAAAAGCAGAGAAATTTAAATATATAACATTAGGAATTATAAAAGGGACGTAGAATACAGAAAATGAAAAAGAGGAAATGAAATAAAGATATGGAAAAGAATTATAATACAAGGACTATTTATTGATATCAATAAACTTGAAAGTCTGTATGAAACTGATAAATTTCTAGAAAAATATAAAATATCAAATTCTCCTAAGAAAAATTAGAACACGGATAAAAGGAATAAAAAACCTAAATAAATGAAGAAATATACCATGTTCATGGATTGGAAACCTTTATTGCAAAGATGTCCATTCTTCCCAAAATGATCTGTAGATTCAATGTAATCCAAATAAAAAACTCCCCGCAGGATTTTTCTAGAAATTGACTGGCTGATTCTAAAATGTATATGGAAAGACAAAATAACTAGAATAGTTAAAACAATCTTTAAAAAATATTGTCAGAAGACCCACACCACATAATTTCAAGACAACTATAAATCTATATCATCATAGCAATATGGTGTTGGCAAAAAAACACATAGATCAATGGAGCAGAACAGAAAGAACAGAAGCAGACCCACAGAGATAAGATAAATTAATACTTGACAAAGGTATAAAGACATATTAATGGAACATGGATAATCTTTGCTGTAAATGATGCTGCAACTGGAAATTTGAAATAATCAATAAAACTGTAGTAGGCAGACAGGCATGAGCAGAGTAGGAACAATAGGCCAGGTACTGAAGGTGATCAGGACAAAAAGCCCTGGATACCTAGCAAGGGGCAAAACTGGGCTGGGACTTTGGCCCCAGAGTGATCTTTCCTTCTGCTAGTCATGTGGTAGAGAAGGAACAAGGGGCCAAAGACAAGCCTCATGCCTCATACAAGGACAAAAGATGAAGAAACAGGCCATGATAAGTCTGCCTAAAGAAGGAAGTTGTTAGCCCCTCTCACCTAACCCCAGGCGTGTCCGAACCTCGGCCCCTGATGGCTATGAATGCAGCCCAACATAACACTGTAAATTTACTTAAAACACAGAGTTTTTGGTGATTACATGTCACAGTGTATTTAATGTGTGGTCCAAGACAACTCCAACCCCTCTTTTTCCAGTGGGCCCAGAGATGCCAACAGGTTGGACACCCCCGCTGCAGGCTAGTCAGGAGCCCTCGCCAGCATCCTGGGGCAGTTCTTTCAGCCACCCACTTGTTTCCTTCCTTTAGAGTGTACTTTCTCTTTGCTTGCTGAATAAACTTTCTCTTTCAATTCGAGTTCCTTGGCTCTGAATTCTTCTCTCAGCCAAACGCAAGTATTGAGGTATAACACTTGCCGCTAACAAAACCAAGAACTTCAATTCATACCTTCAAAGTATATACAAAAATTAACTTACAATGGATCATAGACATGTAAATGTAAAACCGAAGCAGAGAAGTTCTAGAAGAAAACATAAAAGAAATGCTCTGGTACCTTGGGTTAGGCAAACAGTTTTTATATAATATCAAAGGCACAATTCATAAAAACAAAAAATTTATAAATTAGACTTCATCAAAGCCAAACTTTTGCTCTTTAAAAGACCCTGCTAAAACATGAAAAGGAAGACAGAAACTAGGGAATAAATGGACCTGACAAAAACTTGTATCTAGAATAAACCATACTTACAACTCAATAAGATAACCCAGATTTTAAAAAATAGACAAAAGTAGCATAAACAATAAAATAGAATTAAAAATAAATTTCAGTCTTCTCTGCCCCCCCCAAAAAATAGACAAAAGATTCTAACATAAGTTTGACTTTAGCAAAAGAAAGGTCAATACGTATATGAAAAGATGTTCAATATCATTAGTCATCAGTTATATGCAAATTAAAACTACAATACTCACTTGTGCAATTGGCTAAAATTAAAGTCTGACAATATCAAGTGTTGCAGAGGATATAAACAACTGGAATTCTCATGACTTGCTGGTAGAAATATAAAATGATAGAATCACTTTGGAAAACAGCTTGGTAGTTTCTAATAATAAACTTACACTGAAAATAACCCAAATGATCATCAACTCTTTAAGAAATAAAGTGATGTACTGGAATGTAGAAATATAATGGAATACTATTAAGCATGAAAAAGAAACTACTGATACATGCAAAATGAATGAGCTCAAAAACAATCTGTTGAGTGACATAAGCTAAACAAAACACATATTGTATAATTCTACATATATGAAATTCCAGAATGACGGTGGTTGCCTGGGGCCAGAGGTGGACTGGTAGGAACTAAGTGCAAAGGAGATCAAGTGAATTCTGGGGAGTGATAAAACCTATCTATCTATCTATCTATCTATCTATCTACCTACCTACCTACCTACCTACCTTCCATGTTCGATATGGTAGCCACTAGCCACATGTAGCTATTGAGCATCTTGAAATATGGATAATGAAACTAAGGATCTGAATTTAAATTTAATTTAAATTTAAAAATTGACACGACTCAGTTATTGCAAAACATTTAAGTATGTTTGGAGAAACTTGGGTATGGAAATCTACTTTTTTCAATTGTAAATGTTATGAAATCTAATATAAATCATGTACTTTAACTGCTTTGCACATGAAAATGATGGTTTTTCACATAGTGAGTTAAATAAAATACATTATTAAAATTACTTTAGTTTCTTTTAACCTTTTTACCATGGCTACTACAAAATATGAAACTACACATCTTGCCTTAGTTGGTGTGGCTCAGTGGGTTGAGTGCCGGCCTGTGAAACCAAGGGTCATCAGTTCGATTCCCAGTCATGGCACATGCCTGGGTTGAGAAACAGGTCCCAGGTTGGAGGGCGTGCGAGAGGGAGCCAATTGATGTTTCTCGCATCGATGTTTCTCTCTCTCCCTCTCTCCCCCCGTTACCTTCTCTTTAAAAATGAAAAAATAAAATCTTAAAAAAAAACACTATACATCTCATTCACATTACATTTCTATTGGACAACGCTGTTCTATATCTTCACTGTGGTAAACACAAGGGTGTATAAACTTGTCCAATTTCAAAGTGTTCACTTAAATGGGTATGTTTTACTATATATAAATTAAGCCTCAATAAAATTGATAAAAACATTAAATTGGGTAGTATACATGTATGCGTATGTATGATAATGTGTGTACATAAATGGCCATCTTTTTGGTAACCAACCTTCCCTTATCAATAATCAGAAATGTTTAAAAATATTTTCAGGGTAGAGACATGCAAAATTAACTGTTCCTTCCTTTTATTTTTTAAAGATTTTATTTATTTATTTTCAGAGAGAGAAGAAAGGAGGGAGAACGACAGGAAGAGAAACCGACTGGCTGCCTCTCGCATGCCCCCAACTGGGGACAATGGCCCACAACCCAGGCATGTGCCTTTACTGGGAATTGAACCAGCATAGTTTTTGTTTGTTTTTAAAATTTTTATTTATTTATTTATTTTTAGAGCATGGGAAAGGGAGGCAGAAAGAGAGGGAGAGAAACACTGATGTGTGGTTGCTTCTAGCCTGCCCTCAACTAGGGACCTGGCCTGCAACCCAGGCATGTGCAGCAATCCTTTGGTTCACAGGCCAGCACTCAATCCACTGAGCTACACCAGCCAGGGTTAACTGTTCCTCTTAATAGTTAAGAAATTAAATTATATTACAGTTATTTAATGTCAGCCTCCCTCTCTAGCTATTGAGTTTTGTGAAGGTAGGAATCCTACCTTGTTCATCTCTGGATAAGCCTAGCACTTAACTAGTAAGTTAACATAGTACTTTATCAATGTTTTGGAAGCTACAGTATTATTCCAGACACTTTACATACAGTCTAATTCCTGCAGAACCTCTGCAAACTTGGCACTGTTACTCCCCATTTTCCAGATGAAAAAACTGAGGGTCAGAGATCAGAAAGATTACAGTAACTCACCAAATATCCAGACCCAGTAAGTGAAACATCTATGTTCCAAATTTGTATTCATCTCAACTCCAAAGCCCCTTCTAGGATAGGGTATGTGGAGAAACTCTACAGCTGAGAAGGGCTGTAGGAACCGTCTACAGGTTAGATAGCAAGACCAATCCCCAAAGGATTTATGGCTTAGAACCAGCAGAGATCAGCTCGATCCAACATGGCAACTAATTTCACCTAGCAGTAAACACTAGCCTCAT